CCCCCCCCCCACACACACATACACTGACTCATACACTCATACACACACAGACACATAGATCACAGATAGACTCAGACACACGCACTCATACACACAAACTCACACAAAAAGGCCTGTACTCATATCTTTGTGGGGACTGTCCATTAATTTATATGGTCAAAACCTTAATCCCAACAATAACAACCTTAACCCCAACTCAGCCCTAACCTTAACCATAAGCAAACAATCAAAATTCAAGTCTTTTGGTATTTTTAGTTTTTTGATTACATTTTTTATAAAATTGAATTTACCCTTGTGAGGACTGAAAAAATTGTCCCCACAATGTAAATATAACAAGTTTTTATCACATTATGGGGACATTTCATATCCACAATGTAATGCGTACCTGGATGACACACATAGATACACTCACACACACACTGACTCACTCACATACACACAATTACACTGGCCCTGTTGCACACAAACAAAAACAATTTCCACACCTCATCTCCAATTTTGCTGTTTAACACTCAGAACAATACAAACTTTTAGACAAAGATTTAAATATATAAATATATAACAAAAATATTAAAAATAATGATACTCTTTCTTAGTTTTGTATCCAGCAACGCATCACAGACATTCTTGCCTTTACTGGAGATATTAACCATCAAGAGGGAAGAGAAAATTCTGAAAAGAGACATCCAGCACGTGGGCTTGCAGGACCCTGTACAACAAACCAACAGGTGCTTCATACAGACTTACAACAAACAAACTCAGCACTTACTGACCTTGTATTATGCTTGCAGGGTTCATACTAGGTTTGTGATAGGCCTATCTGGGCAGTACATATGAATTACTGAATCCTTTTGTTACTTCCATGAATTCTAGTTAAACAATGTATGTTGCTTTGGGTTTTATCCTGAGCTGTTGTCCTGTTCCGCTCTCGATCTATTCTGTCTCTCAGCGCTGAGTCCCGGACCCGTCTGAGACGGGCTTTCCGGAGTGGCTGTCACCTTGGAACCTGCCAGGTCCACATCCTGGCCAACACGCTGTATCGGATGGGCAAAACAAGCGGCAAGGACGAGTCACGAAAGGCCAACGACCCCCAGGGCTACGGGAGATAGGTGGCAAAGTGAATGTTCCACAGATCTGTGTGGGTTGCTATAGAGACGGAGAGGAATAAGAAGGAAGCAAGGGAGGCAGGAGAAGGATGGCGGACTGCATGTGCAAAAACCCCAAAAGGAGAGATACAGACATCGGCATTTACCTATAAACTGTACAACTGACTGGTCTCACCTGTACAACTGGTGTGTATATATAGCCTAGAAGTTTAATTAGTATAAATATTAAAACTGTGGACCTTAATGTGTGGAAAATTTGAGATCAAATTTGACATGTAGGTTACTAATTTGTATATAGAGATTATGTTAACAAACAATGTTTATAGAAGTAAAATTTATTTAAAATAAAATATACTCATTTGTCTTTCTCAGTGTCATGCTTAGAAATATATTCTGTCATAGTTTTCTATCTGGTCTATTTGACAGTGAAAAGTTTATATTTTTCGTCCCTGTTTGATTCCCTCTTCCTATCTGCCCGCGTCAAACCACACCCTCACCAGCGCTTTCACATTCTATACACCGGCAATTGCACTTCGCATAAGGCCACTAACAGACTTCGGCTATATTTACTGCAGAAGAACAGTTAACGGAGTGTTTAGTAGTTTCACTGAGAAGGACACATTCACACTTACCAACACTGGCCTGCATACAGTCCGAAGAATTATGAGAGAGGCGAAGAAAGACGAGGGCGGAGGGAAGCGTGTGGCGACAGGGACGGATAAAGATCAGGTATCGCACCGAAGGCGCTCCTTCTGGACTTTCTTTTACTTTGAGTCTTTGAACGTTCCTATGTTCTTAAAAGAAAGACTGAAAACACATGGAAAACGCCGTGATTATTTGAATAGTTATATGCAGATATGGTTTAAATGGCGTTAAGTGTCCAAGTATGTGACTACTTCCCGTCAGAAGCAGGGCAAACTAATATAGTTATGGAAACTTGGATATCCGGATTTTTAAACGCGCTATTTTTCCTTTCTTATTTCTCGTCGATGAATTTCTTGGTATTCTGCTAGGTGTTTACTAACGCTTGTTATTATTTTGCTGCATTTTTAAGTTGGAATGACAACGAGTTTTGTACAAGATAAATTATTTTATCTTTAAATGTCAGTTCATGCCATTACTTTCTTGGTTGAGCTCCAAATTGACAATTACAGTGTGAATCCAGTCAATATTTTAAAACAGTATAAAATTCAGTCGTGTTTGCGTTCGTCTTTCCGATAATATAAGTCGGGGGTGTGTTTAAGATCGGTGGGGGGGGGGTGGACAATCTGTAAGGACACGTACAGTATGCGCGTCTCCGTTCGCACCTCAGGCCAGTAAGGATGGTGCAACATAGTTTGGGGGTTGAGGTTAACAGAAGCTTACAGGGAAATCAGGAGAAAAGTCGTACCTTGCTTATAGCAAAGCTATGAAGAAAACTAATTTTGTTCTTGCCCTTCAGCGTAAAATGAATTTGATATTGCTGCATTTTCTTCGCTTGTTCTGTTCGCCCAGCTACTATACTCCGAAGGGCAATTCTGAGAGTTACCACCCATCTCCATACATTTCTCTCCAAAAACAAGCTTTTAATTTTTTCCCATTTATCTAGCTGGACTTTTTTCTGCTTCAATGAAATAGCAGCAAAATCCCATAGCCAGCAACTATTACAATTAGGGGTCCATGTGTTCCTAATGCTAATTCTTTCCACTGTCCGTCCATCCAACTCAATACTAAATCTAACATGTGAATCAAGTACTAATCGAGGGGCATTATGGAAAAGGTACAGATATTCTGTATACTCAGATCCATCAAAAAAACCTATAAATAGTATATGTAAAAGATGTGCATTTTATGGAGCTATGAGTTTGTAACAGCTATGTTATGGCACAGAAAAACTTCTTCACTTCCACCACTGGTATTTAATTGCTCTGTCTCTAACTTTTATTACAAATTAACTGTAATCATTTTGGTCGATGACCTCAAATTCTTCAGCTTCTAGAAATGTGTGAGTTCTTTTTCTCACTCTCAAATTCCATTTTTTTAATCCAAGGAGATGCTGGCATAGTGTGTGCATGTATGTGGCCTGTGATGGACTGGCATGCCATCCAGAGTGTACCTAAGTCTAGTTCCCTCATCCCCCCCCCCATTTCCTTGACCACGAGAAGCAGTTAGATGATGGGTGTTATATATTGTGTTTGCAGTACCGCGCCAGCAATTGACAGTTTATCCTTTTCAGAGCTGGATTCCTAAAATCATCAAGAAGAGAGTGTGTACAACCTTTGTAGAAGATTCATTTAGGTACAGTATTTGTGGCTGCCGTTCATTGTTAGTCCAGCTTATGTACTGTGATGACAGATGTTAAGGAATTATTGATTTCTTTCTCTTTTGAAGTTTACAGTCCCCTCTTTGACCTTTGACCTCTGTGGGTGAGCCTGCCTGATATGTTAATTAATATTATCATTAAAAGGGGTGTGTTCTGGGCAATGTTGTTTCTTTGGTACAAGGTGAAAACAATGAAAATGTAAGAACACTATGTAAGAATATTTATGTTTATATGGTGTTTAAAGAACAGTGTGTTACTGTAATATCAGTGGTGACTACATTTTATTTTTTTATTTTTTATCCCAGTTCAAGAACTTCCGGGAGCTCAAGTAGATGTATTTTTATTTATGTTGTATTGACGCGCTATTCTGTACCTCAAGCTGAAGTTGTTAATGGCCTCATATGACTACCTACTCATATCGGTATACTCACCGAGAATATTTACTGGGATCTGATTGGGTACATCTACAATATGGAGAATGGAGGTTTTAAGATTAATTTTTAACATTTAAATAACATGAAACAAGGTACTTGATTTCACTTTTATTTTTAAATTAAATATTTGGTAATGCTATGCATTTCCACACACTTATTTTCAAGTTCTTACAGTGAATTTAAGATTGTATTAAGCATTTAAGGTTGTATTGCAGAGGTTCTCTTTTTTTAAGAGATTAAAAGAGTTTATTTGAAAACATAAGAGACATATTATTTACGTTATAGTTTATTATCAAATTTATTTTGAACTAACTGAGTTAGTTCTTTGTCATCCTATCTGGGGTGGTGATAATAAAAGTTGATCAGGGAGGTAGGAGGGCTGGACACCAGGTTTATTTGTTATAGTTTGAATATTTATTAAAAAACTAAAATGGGGGTGGTGTTTTTTTCTCTTTGGGGAGGGGGGGGGGTCAATGGCTCATTTGGGGGGATGAATACCCCACATGACACCAACCCTGAGTTAGAGGCAGCACTCTAGACATGTAGCCAGTTATTACTTGTTAGTCATTAAGGACAAACCCAATAACGCTGCAGTATGAATGCCCAGGTCACTGGCCGCTACACAGTGTGTATCAGCTGGTTACATGTGAAATGCCCGGCAGCACTTTGGCTAAGGTCATTCACAGTTATTTTACACAATGGTCGACCACAGAACCTCGTGCTGATCGCTGCAGCTGCAAGGTGACACACTGAGTTCATCTCCTGCGTTCTCTGTTTGTCTTGTTATGGCTCGATCAAGGAGGCCTTGTTGCCTTGTGCCATATCTGTGTGCTAATGAAATATGGTAACTTTATTTGCTCATTTAGCAAATCAATCAGCAATCAAATTAGTGTTTCGCTTAGTGTGGCTTAAAATATTTTAAATTGATGCCCCGGTGATTCTCTTTGAGATGTTTCTGGCAAAGGCTTTGTTTTAGATAAATTCAACAGATGGAGTTAACAGAAATTCAAATTTATCCTCAGCTGTTTGCGTGTGGAGATATTTTGCGTGTATCTGCGTTTGTATTGTCTCATGATTTGCAAACAAGCAAGCAAATTTTTTACTTCCTCTCTATCTACTATCCTAATGTCAGGTAAGATACACTGCTTAGCTAATAAGCTTTTGTAATGTAACCCACACTGTTCATAAATTGTATAGTTTGAATAGATTTCAATCTATAGTTTAGCATGCAGGATGAAGACTCAGTAGAAGCCATAATTTTTTCACTGTTAGCTTCAGTTTCAGAGATTAAATAGTAAGTTGAATTAATTATCAAGTAAAAATTAACATCATAACTCTGGAATTTTGCAAAAGTTTTTCGGTGGAAAAAAAACTAGAAAATAATGATTATACAGACAAAATCACTTTCACTGTTAAGAAAAGAATTGGCATTAACTCTTGGATTAAACATACACACCATTTGAAAAACAGCATCTCATATTTTCAAAAAAAAAATAAAAATTTTCTTAGAAAAAAAATCTGTTTGAATTTTAGCTGGTTAAATTATTAAAACCTTCAAAATACATGAACAACACAGTCAGTTTATCAAAACCTAAAGTAATTAATACATCACAAGGCCTTGATCTTCTGTGTTTCCCCAAAACAGATATAAACAGAGCTGAGAAATTTGGCCGTTAAAAAATAAGATACAAGCATCACATATCATATCATGATATTAGAACCACCAGTTTCTCGGAACAATTAAAGGCAATGTCAGCCCTTAACACCAATATGGGCAGATAATCTTTTAAGGCCATTATTAACTTGAGTTAAATGGAAATATACAGCAATTTGAGAAATTATTGACACCTCCAGAAGATAATACAGGGAAACACATTACTTGAGGAGACACAAATACTTAGTAGTAACTCAGTTACTACCCAAGTACAAATCATGAATAAATACTGAGCAAATATAGTTACTACTTAAGATGAGATGTGTCATGTTTCATTAATGACATCAGTATTTCACTTGTGTTATTCATTACTTGTTTCTTCAGTAGTTCGTTCAGTAGTTCGCCAAGATTTACAGAATAAGTAGATATAGTAACTGCCTGGGATAAATGATGTTACAATTCATTAATGATGAACAAACATGAAATTGGTATTTTACATGTGTTATTCATTATTTGTTCCTACAGTACTTCCTTCAGTGGTTCATTCAGTAGTTCATAAAGGTTTACATAATTAACAGATGTAATACGAAAATATAGTATTTGCTTGAGATACAAGATGTGTGACAATTCATTAATGATGAACAAACATGAGATCAAAGAAGAGTTGAGTCAAATTACGAGTTTGTAGTAACACTTAATTTATGGTTAATTAATACATAAGTAATAGCATAATACTACATTATTTGTGTCCACAAGTAAAGTGTTACCAAATACAGGTAGCAGCTTGGGAGACCATTAATTAATGATAGATACTGTTCTTTAAAAAACATTAAGATTCTAACAGGTTTGGATGCTGTTCAACCGAATAGTT